AAGAAGAGAAAATTAAAGCATTTTTTATTGCATTAGAAAGATATCTTTTACTGTGAGGGTGGTGAGGCACTGAAACAGGTTTCCCAGAGAAATTGTGGAAGCCTCATCCCTAGGAGTGTTCAGGAACAGGTGGGATGGGGTTTTAAGCAATCTGGTCTAGTGGAAAGTGTCCCTGTTCATGGCAGGAGGAGGGAAGGATAGAACTAGATGATCTTTAAGGTCCCTTCCAAACCAAACTCTTCTATTGTTTTACGATTGTAGCTGCTCTACCTGCTTGCCTTGCGTCTTATAACTGTATTTACATCCACCTTCTGGGCAGTAATCTTTCAGTCAAGGGATATCACTCTGAGCCTGTTCTGTAATATGGTTGCAGTTAGAAGGCTGAGTAATGACTCAAATCAAATACTACATACCAGGCTGTAGCTGGCATGTTCATAGCCTGTGACTGAAGAGCAGCAGGGAGAACTCCTGCAGCGATACATTATATCTATCAAAGTCTACTGTATCCTACATTCTGTGTTCAATTTCAGGTTTGGCTACAAACTATTCCCCTAGACATTTTGGGAAGTGTGGGGATTAAAAAAATATAATCACAGAATGACCTGGACATGCTGCACATACTGGGGTCCCACTCACTCCCCTCCTTCCTGATGTGATGAAGACCTAGGATGCTTTGACATTCTGAGTCTTTCAGAGTTTTAAAACCACTAAAAATTTCTGGCAACCTTTAAGACGGATCAAAACATGCCCTTTGCATCAATTAAGATAGGAGGTTTTGCATACATTATTATACCACCAGAAACATGACTATACATACAGAAAAGCCCAAGCAGAACCTCTCTGGCTGGGACTTGGTTATTCATACAAATATGTGCCAAATAGGAGAACTGTGAACTTTAAGGTTCCTTTAAAATTATGCAGCCTCCCCTAAGGAAGGTTGGAAAGGTGTCACTAGTTTCAGAGACTAAGAAGTTCAGGATATCCTAGTGCTAAAATAAAGCCTGAAGTGGTTTCCTAGAGGCTTATAGCAAAGATTCTCCAAATTCTGCCTAGCTTCCCCAAGCAGAGGTGAGTACTCTGAATCACCAGATAAAGCATCCCTCCAAGGCTGTAACAGCTTTCACACTGAGATGCACTGACGAGCAGGTGGAGCAGAAGACACAAAGCAGAATCCTCTGTGTATCTCACCCAGCACTGCAGAATCTGAACCCAGTCCAAGTTTCTAGAAAATGGTATCTAATCCTAAATCACAGAGCAGCAATGAATTTTAAATGCTAATATTTTGCCAGCATGGAACTGATGAAACAGGCGTGATCTCTGTATGCTTATTTTAATGAAATAGACATTGCAGTGCTCACATGCAAGAGGACCTGCTATTCCAATTGCTCAAAATTTTACATAAAAATAATTTTAATACATATGCATAATGCCCTCCATATCCCAATTCTAGCCAAAATACACTTGAAAAAGTTCAATGCATGTATTTTACTCAAGTGATTTGCCCCAGATAATAGAACTGAGGCCAGGAACAGTCTAATTTCCAGTTGTAAAGTGTTATTAGTATTTCTGAACTACTGCAGATAATATATTAAGCAACATTCTAAGTAAGAATTCAGTTGTAAAATTTTATCTTCAATACATGCACAACTTGGTTTTGGATGAGAATTGCTTTGAGGGAAGCAAGGAATGTTATTGATAGGAACCTTGAGCATGGAATAGCTGCTAGGAGCAAGAGTGTCATTAGTACAACAGAATATTGAGCCCTTTTGGAAGAAAAAGACTGTGTTGTCTCCTTTTGCTACAAAGAACAATTAGAAATTATGATACTGACTCTGAATAAGTTCATAGTCCCGTCCCATCATGCTGTTTTGCATTGTTACAGGAGGGATCTGATAAACAGAAATTTTTTGCACTGCTATGCACAATACTCAAAGTGGCAGAAGGCTGTTATGGAAACTAAACATGGGCAAAACATAATCACCTATTTCCTTACCACTTCAGTACTGTGGTAAGGAAATGAAGCAAAACTAGACTTATTATCGTGATTTTCCTAGCAACTTCCAAGAAAAATTACTAACCACTACACAATTTGCAGTCACTGGAAATGCTTTGATACTGCAAAGATGTGCACATTTGGGCTCCCTTTGACTTTGCAAGCCTCTTTGAACTAAAGGTGGTGTAGCCCTTGAGATGCATGGTAGATGAGAAGCAGGTGGTATATAATACAGAAAACTGTATTAATAGTTTGTGGGTTTTGTTTCTAGATTTTTAGCCAGGAATAAATGCATTAGATACAATATGAGTTGTTATTTCTTCCTTTCAATTTTGATGTTGATATTACTTTGACTCTGTTTTCAGCAGCGAAGGTGGAAGATATAATCTCCAGAGGTCCCCTTCCAACATTAACTGCTCTGCAAGTCTATAATTCACTGCTTTTAATAAATATTGATATTTTTCTACAGGTTACTATATTAACTCAGATTGTTAGGTTACACATTCTATACTCAAGAGACAGGTAAAAACCAAAAGAGAGCAACATTGTACACCTTGAGTTTCTACAGTACATGAAATTTTCTCCTTAATTCTTGGCAAATTATTTTTTACTAATGCTAGTTTTCCCCATGCCCACTACTGCTGTGGTTCTGACTATCTTACCACATTTGTTTTATGTTGTCTATTAAAATGGAGATTTTAAAGATGTGTGCCCATATTGTTAAAAGACGACAACTTTCCTAACTTTAAGCCTCAGACTTAGATAACCAAGTTCCTGAGAAAATAGATGGAGCTTCCATAACCAAAGTGTCAGTATTTTAAATTAGGAACTTGGCTCTTTTTATTAAGTAAATATAAAACATAGACCCCGAATCTTAACTAAATTTTGTACCCAAAGTTAAAATACATGAATACCTGTCCAGTTTGCAAGTGAAAGAATAACTTTTGAGGACCAGATGAAGAGAGAGAGGAAGGTGCAATTTGATTTGAATTCTATTCTGATTTCATCCCCCATTCAGTAGATATGCTATTGATCAACCTCACAGCAAGGGTAGCCCACTGTCTTCTTGACATGAAGATCCACCTGGATTTTGAATTAAAAAGACTAACTCATCCCTCTGTTGCTTTTCCTTTACTCATTACCTCAGGATAAAGCATCAGCAAGTAAGCTGGGTTCAGAAGAAAAACAGGAGGAACCATCCCCTCTCTATGAGAGCCTTTGCTATCAGGCTGCCCCTTCAAAATATATTTCCCAGGACAACGGTTTCTTTTCTCTTATGTAAGTTGTAGTTTTTGGGAGTTCAAATCCAAGAGGTTATGTTTAGCCAGGGGGACAAAATTACACTACTCCAAAACCATCTACAACCTAGTTGGGATTCTTAGACTGAAAGCTCCAATGTTTACTGTGTGGATAAACAGAAAATGAGCATAACATTCTCCAGACTTTTTTTTTTTCATGCATTTTTATGTTAAACTCCTTTTAGAAAGATGGGAGTAAAAGTAATTTTTTTATACCTCAAGTCAAATAAATGCTTAAATAACTTTTCTTATTTTCGAGATCTTTAAAAGGATGGTATCTGTATATTCCCTGTTCAGACTGATGCTTACTGTCCTTGCAATTAAAAAACCAAAAAATATCCCTGACCATCATGAATAGCAAAGTTTTCCCATTATCTTCCTGAAAAGAGTTTAAATGAAAGCAACCCTGAAAATGACACTCTCTTTCCTTGAGGTAAACAGCCCATAAATGAGTGGTTACACGACCAGAATGGGAAGTGTGGGGACTCCTGTTCAGACCAAACACTCTTCTGGTTGTCCAACTTCTACCCACCCTATTTCCCCACATAAGTACAAAGTACAAGGCTGGTCCTAACTGCTGCCTCAGTAAGGGTTCCAGCATCCTCCTCTCCTCAGGAGGAACAATCCAGCTGTTACCATATGTCAGCAACTGGAGGGCACCAACAGGCTCTGCAAACTTTGAGGGGTTTAGCCACCTCTGCTACAGATTTGTAACCTCAGATAAGATTGCTGTGAAAACCACTGAGAAAGCTGTGCAAGAAGTAGCTGTGAGAAATCCTGTCTGTGAGGGTCTTTTCCCCTTGACTCACGATGTGCAGTGAGCAAATGTTTGTATGGTCGTGCCATACAGCTTGCAATGGTAAGGCAGAACTTTCAGACACACATACCTGGATCCAACGCTCCTGTTACAGGATGAAGTTAATTGCATGAGACTAGAACAAGATCTGGTGAGGTGCTTCTATTTTTAAAAGTTTTTTCCTTCTTTTAAAAATTCCATTCACTTTCACTAAGTTCCACACAACATTTTGCCACTCCCCAGTTCCTTTTATACTGCCAAAGCACTACACATGGAACTAATTGCTTTGCAACCAGAAAGGTCAACTAAGGACTGAGTTCCCAAAAGCAAGTTAATTTTATTTCCTTAAAATGTGTCTCATGTGATTGGAAATTCTGCTTTGTAAATTTAATCTTAACAGATCTCTTATAATATATTCCTCATGAATTAATACTAGCTGTTTCTCTGAGCTACTCCAGACATCAGACAAGCTGTTTTCATTCTTTCCAGAGTCTAATGGACTAGGAATTTAGAACTATGATTTACAGTGTTCAGCTGCACTGAAATCATTAGTCTGAAGAATTTTTCCACTTACACTATTACTGCTAATATTTGTACTGCAAAATTAACAGAAACAAATACTGCCCTTAGTGTGAGCTTCTCTGCTGTTATCTTCTATCCCTCTCAACTCTGGGTGCTACTGTCCTCAAACTCGCTTTGCAGAGCTGCTGCTATTTTCTTACCTCATTATACTTGCTAATTATGGCAGCACCAATATGAAAAATAAAGTAATAGGAGCTCCAATACAAGCTACCAACAACTGCAGTAAGGAACAGAAGTCCAGACACACAGCAACATAAGCCAGGGAAGGATAAATTCCACAGCCAGAGTTAAGAATACATCGAAGAATTAAATTACTCCTAAGCTACATTACCGTGAATGTGATTCAGATATCAAATGAAGACTTTCATGAAAACATTAACTGCAAAAGAAGTTCTCATCACACTTTCTCTTGCAGGAAAAGTATTCAGCAAAACTGGGATCCAGTGAAAGCCGAACTGTAATGTAAAGAGATTTATTGATGTAAGTGAAGTGGGACGATTCATTCATACCCTCCTCATACAATATTTGTGTTTTAAAACAAATGGCTCAATGACAGTTTTCCTTAGAGGCACAGAATTGCATTCATTAAAACAACATGAATTAAGGGCATTTCACTGGCCAAGGTTCTCCATTATTTTTGCCATTTTGTCAGACATACCCTTTTGGTATACTACATCTTTAAGTGTTCATGAAAATAACTTTTCCCATTAATTCTCCCTTTGCATATAGAGTGTTTGGATGTGTGGGCTTTCTACAAAGGGAAGGAAAGTGCCTCACTGAAGCATCATGTTTTGTCTCCAGGTGCAACACTCCTGTTTTGCCATAGAGTTTTCTCGTAAGACACTTAAACACATATCAGAAACTTTAAAAATTATTTCAGTCATGAACAGCTTCCACAGTATAGTCATGCTTGCAAATTTTATAGAACTGGTGTGATCTGACTGCAGAATACATTTTTGATTAATCAGACCTAGGGTTTTAATAATGTAACAGCAGGTGGGGTAACTACAAAATTAAAACTCTTAACAGCCTCAGAGTAATACAGTCATAAATATAAAAGCTCAAAACACCTCATTTGCATTTCTGAAAAACATCCTCAACTTACTCTGCATTCCTGTTCCCAGACGAGGGCGATGTTTCTGTCAGCTGATAAATACCTCGGGCTCTTGCTGCATTTCACATCTCTGAAGGGAAGACACACCCTGTGACACATGACAAAGGGTTACCTTTCCCTTTGGAAGTAGCCACTGCTTTTACAGAAGCAATTTCTGGAAGGTGCAGGATATTGTTCAGAGACTGTACACCCACTTTGATCAGCTGTTAAATATCAGGTATTTCCCATTTGAGGAGAGTATCTGTAAGAAAATGGTAAAAGAGGCTTGTCATAACGTTGCTATTTGAATGATCACCTTTTGTTCCCATGCACATTTCTGAGCCAGTTATGTCCTTTTAATTAGCAGCAGTTAAACATTGGGATATACAGTTATCTTTTTTTTTTTTTTTTTGCAAACCTCTCCATTTATTATTTTTTTTTAATTAAATTTGCAAATCCAACTGTACTGTAATTTAGACTGCTCAGGCTTAAACTGCCACTAGATTGCCATTATATGACAGTAGTTGAGGTCAATTAAATGGGGGGCTCAGAGGCTATGCTAATGAGAACAAAATCAGTTTAGGTATTGCATCAAAGTTTAAGATGTTTTCAAAAGAGTGCCCCCTTTTTATTCCTAGCTGAAGAGAAGCTTCTGCTTCAAACAGTGGTTGCAGAAGCATTTTCGTGTCTAAACAGCTGCATTTTCGTGCCTTCATAGTTATGAAGGCACTATGATTTATCCCTAGAATTTGTGCTTTTCTAGCTTTTTCTCATTATATATAATGCCAACCCTTAGAAAAATGTAGAGTCTAGAAAGGACTCTGTTTAATACTTCTGTTTAAAAGTACCTGCTACGTATACACACACACACATTATATATAAATAGCTGCTTCTGAGAGACCTCCTCATGAACTATCTATCTTTTAATGGAAATTATTATCCAAACACAAAATAACCTGTCCTATGGGCTATTATTTATATCCATAGCAGGGCTGAATTTTACGTATATCAAGTCCTCTTTGCTTTCAGCAAGTATTCAGTAAAATAAAGAAAAGCTTTTGTCAGTGAATTGTTTACAGCAGTGACTAACATAAGAGTTAAAAAGCTAGAACATTAGACAGAAAAGTTTCTTTTAAAAAACAAGAAGAAACATAATTTATTTGCTAAAGAAAGCTAAGCAGTAAGAGGAAAATGTATTGAAGCAGAGACCGTAAATGGATAATGGAAAAGCTAGGCAGGGTGAAGTAACACCCTGAAGAGTCATGAGATTAAGGGTAGGAAAGGTTTGTCACTGCTCTTCATAAGTATTCAGAATGGGGAGTGAAGTCATCATGGATCAGCTGGTTCCATGTAGCATAACAGCAGAGGAAAAGATCAGTTCTTTAGCACAGCTCAAGGTCTTCCCATAATCTGACTATGAAAAAAAAACAACCCAGAATGAAAACAAAACCAAGACAAACTGAAGCAAAAAACAAACAAACAAAACCAACCAACCAGTCAAGCAAATGAAAACCCCACAAAAACAAGAGAGGGAGTTTCAAAACAAAGGGCCAAAATTTCTCTCAAAAAACATGGAAGCAATACAATCAACCCACACACTTTCAGGAAGCAAAGGTTAATGATTTACTGTGTTTACATGTCTTGCTGTAATACAATAAATCTGATGAATGATGATGGACAGTTTGTCAAGGGCCTAGACAGCCCCTGTCCTGAGCAATGGAAAAGCATGGGAGCAGTTGTCATGTCAGGATGTTTCTTTTATGGTATGAAAAGGTTTATGCAATAGCTAGACAGCGAGTTTCTAAGAATTTTCTCTTAGAAGGGAAGAAGTTTCCTTCTTTGCCTAAAAGTTACCCTAAATACTCCTTAGAATTGGAGAGGTTATATATATGCTTGACCAGACCAATAAATAAAAACAGGCTCTCCCTTCTTTCAAGAGACAGAACTCCTGTAGTAACCCAAACATCCTGCTGTGGGTAGACATTAACTCTGTTTAAAGCACGTGTCTACCATGTCCCATCAGCATCCTGGTTTGTCTGCCCTTTCTTTAATCTCATTAAATTAGTAGCTATGGGGTGAAGTGGCAGAGTACTTCAACCTGCATCATACAAGTGCCCTGATCAGCTGCAATTGCCCAGACAAATCAGATCCAACTCTAACTCTACCAGTAGGTGCCACTGAAGGGTGTGTATGGCCTAGACTTCATTGGAGAGCAGTATATTGTGTATATATTTTCCATGCAATACACATGGCTTCTAAAATACAGGGTTTTTTTCATATACTTTATGTAAGCTAAAACTAGGTTCCTACAGCAAATACCTTCAGGTGGGACTCAGGCTTGTGAAGGAGCAGTTTGTGACTAGTGCAGCCATGCAAAAGAATCTGCCAACAGAGATGGAAAACAGAAAAGTACCAAATTTTCCCATTTCATTCATTTTTAAAGAATTAAGAAGTTACATCTGAAGGATGTAAAAGGTCCTGCATAAAGAGAGGAATGTATCCAAATCACTGTCTAAGTAGGAAAGTTCATTTAATTTTGAAGAATTCTGTTTAGTTCTAATGAGCTCTGGATGTAGAGATGGGAGAAGTGACTGCCAGATGGAATTTATTTCACACTGTTTGAACTCTTTCCCCAGAGAACAACAGGATTGTGACTACAAGGGGATAGAACATTAAGAAATGGAAAGGGTCTCATCTGTCCATTGTATCATATTTATTCATTGTAACTATTCTGTTTTACTTTGAGCCAAGAACAGAAGCCTAAAGGGTTTTTTGCTAAAACATATTTAAAAAATAATAAAAAAGTGTATCTTCATTCATAGAATAACCAAGATAGGTGGTGTTTAAAGATACAAGACAATCAAAGCCTGATCCATGTAATCCATCATTCAGCCTTTATCACCTCACCCACATTGGTTCAATATTGTTGTATTCTTGGCCTGCCCAAAGACTGTGAATAACCTTAACATTATTGATTAACAGGATAAGGTAACTGCAAGACAAGAGAAAACAGAATGAGAACTAACTCATTTCACAGATTATCAAGGTGCTGGTGGCTGCTAACAGACCCTGGTTACGCAAGAGTCACTGTGAACAAATCTAGAGGAGCCCTTGGATTTGTGTTACTGAAGAGTCTCTGAGAAATTCACCTTTGGCAGAAAAGTCAGTCTGCTTAAGTGTTTCCTATCCTTTCTTAAAGTAACAATCAACCTTGACCTAATTTGGGAAGCTTTTGACCAGACAAGTCAAAAGGTACAAAAAGGTACAGAGAGCGGCAGTGCCGTGGGGGTTTCTGATTTACACAGAAGCATGAAGAGATATCAGAGGAGACTGTACAAAATTGCAAGCAGTACTGCAAAATTGTTGCATTTTTCACAGAAGACAGCACTCTAGCATTGAATGGAAAAACTATTTTTTAAAAAAAATAACATGGGGAATCTATTATAGATCCGGAAATTACATTCAGACCTCCTCAGGCTCAGTCCTGAATCTAAACCTCTTGTCGTGGTTTTGCCACCTCTGTTGCTTCAAATGTTTAGTACCTTTCAGGTCTGCATGTTTCCAAGGCCTCTGGTTTCTGTATTAAAATGGATGTAGCTTAGACTAAAATTTAGAGTTCCTCATGTTCTATTGAAGGCCACTGTCAGTATAGTTGCTTTATATCTGAATGTGTCCATTCACATGAAATACACAGAATATATTTATGTCACTACACTTCTCAAAGACAAAATGTGTCCTTCTGGCTTCTCCAGAGCATAAAAGGCATTTGTCAAAATTACTTAGAACACACCTTGCACACAGTGCTCTGTCATTTCTGTGAATACTGGCAGGTTTACATGTCCAAGTGCTACCCTGGCAGTTGTAGCTGGACCGCAGGCCCAGAGAAAGCAGGTATGGCATCCAAATATACTGCACTAAATGTAGGGAGAATCAGGCTCCATTTGTTCAAAGAGGTAAAAATAAATGGAATTATACATACTTCCCCATAAATAACTATTGCAGTAAGTATTCTGAAAGCAACATCAGTGTAAAGATCACAAAAAGATAATTGACTCTGGACTAACAGCATTTCACTACTGAGCATTGTCAAAGCAACATTGCAGCTTTCCAGTCAGGTTCACACTTTATCCTTTGGCTCAACTAGATTTGGCATCATGACTTGCAACGAAGTAGGTAAGAAAAAATGTGCCCGTGACCCTGGAGACCAAGAGGTGTTATTTTGTAAGCAGAAAGGCTTCCATGCGTATCACATTACAGATGCTGTAAAAAGTCTTCTATATCCTGCAGCTGAATAGTCAAGCCTAATAACACATTTGACCTTTACGAAT